GGGAAAGATAAAGAGCTCTCAAAATAGGGTTACTTTTTTTTTTTTTTTTTTTAAGCTCTGAACTCAAAATCCTCCTGCCTCCACATTCAGAGTGCTGGGATTATTGAGTGTGCATCACCACGCCTGCCTGTAAATTTTGTTTCTTAGCTTTCGGTGATCAGAATATGCATCTTTCCATTTTTTTCATGAGTTAAGTGTTGGTTTTCCTCAAAGATCATTTGCAACTAGAAACACTCAGTGCTGGCTGAGGGTTTTTAGGAGGTACTGACCGGCCTATCAACTCAAACTTCATCTTCACAAGCTGAGTCACAATAGTAATGTACCCTGGTATTGTACCTCATTGTCATTATTTCAGTCAGTTTTCTGTCACTGTGACAAAATAGCTGAAATAATCAACTTAAAAGGAGGAAAGGTTTATTTTGCCTCATGAGTTCAGAAGTTTCAGCCCCTAGTTACCTGGTCCTGTCACTTTGGGCCTGTGGCAACAGTTTCTCATGGTGGGAACAGGTGGCAGATAAGCCTGAGTACCTGACAGCCGAGCAAAAAAGAGAGAAACAAGAGACGTATGAGTCCCAGTATCCTCTTCCAGGGTATCCCTCCCCATCACCTGACTTCTTCCCCGGAGGCTCAACTTCTTAAAGATCCTACCACTTCCCAGTATTATCGCAGGGTGAGCTCTCTATGTTGGTGAGGAAGCTGAAGAGTTCAGGAAGCTCAGCCTAGAAGCACAGACAGACACATGAACATATACCTGTGATAGCAAAATGCATCCGTGTTAGGAAACCCTTCAGTCAGAGTCTCTGGCTGCAGCACAGGCTAGCTCATCTAGATCTTGGGGGTTAACCTAGTGCTTCCAAGTTGACTTGACCTTAAATTGCTTATTCTATTGTTTTCTAGTTTTTCTTTCTTTTCTTCTTCTCTCCTTCCCTCTTTCTTCCTTCCTTCTTTCGTTGCTTCCTTTCTTGCATTATACACTGAGAAAGAAGTTAGGTCCTAGACAGTGGCTGATAGGGTAAAATCAATATTAATATTTATGTGTACATTCTGAACCAAGTCAAAAGACAAATTTGATTGAGCCCTCATGTGTTCCATAGCACCAGGAGAAGCACTTCAAAATTAAAGGAGCACTGAGAAATAAGTCTTTACCATATGGGTTCCAACGTGCCCAAATTGAGAAAATGTGTCTATTACATAAATTTGACCCTTTCAGCTGAAAAGCAAAGAAAAACAACAAATTCAATAAACCCTTGTCTCTTAGCATTATTCCAAAGTTAGTTTCTAACTCTTTATATCATCAAGAAGTAGACACGACCAGTAACAAGCATCTATGGTAATTTCTGTGTGAAAGGCATTCTTATAAATACCCTTTGCACACATCATTCCATGTGTACATATACACACTACAGTTGTGTATTGCTTCACATTGGCGGTGTTATCAGTGCTGCATTATCACACTATTCTTTCATTAGGCAAACATCACAGTGTACACTTGCACAAACCTAGATGGTCCAGGTCAGTTCCTCATGCCTGTAGACCCCATCAACAGATGTGGTAAACTGAGATACAGGAGGCTGCTGCTGGGACAATGTGGCATAAATGTATTTATGTCTTAAAATAGGAGTACATTCCAAAATAACCATTAAAAATACAACATAGGGGCTGGAGAGATTGTTCAGTGGTTAAGAGTGTGTACTGCTATTGCAGAGGACCCAAATTTGGTTCCTAGTGCTCACATTAGGCAGTTCACAACTACCTGTAACTCCAGCTCCAGGGGATCCAAACACCCTCTTCTAGCCTCTGCATGTACCTCCACTCAAATGCACATACCCCCACTATGATGGTTTGAATGAGAATGGTCACAATAGGCTTCAAGTATTTGGACGTTTGTTCCCCAGGTCATGGCACTGTTTGGGGAAAGTCATGGAACCTTTAGGAGGTGTGACCATGCTGGAAGAAGAATGTCACTGGGGAAGGATTTGATAGTATACAAACATGCCCACTTCTAGTCTGGCTATCTCTGCTTCCTTTGCCTGCTTGAAGATGTGGAGCTCTCAGCTTTCTGCCCGGCTGCCTCCTGCCATGCCTCCCCACCTAGATGGACTCCCACCACTTGGCAACTGTAAGCCAAATAAAACTCTTTTTCTATAAGTTTCCTTGGTCGTGGTGGTTTATCACAGCAACATAAAAGTAATATACCCACAAAGACACACACACACATACACACAATTTTTAAGGTATAGCATAATAAATATATAAATCAGCAAAACAATTGGTTACTATCAAGGATTCTGTACATAACAGTACGTGCTGTTCTTTTACACAATACACAGTGCAGTAGGTTTTTTACACCAGGATTATCACAAGCATATGATTCATGAATTGCAATATATATTACTTTGACTACAACATCAGGAGACAATAAGAATTTTTCAGTTCCATTATGATTTCAAGGGACCACTGTCTATGTGTTCCCCATCGCTGGCTGAAACTTCCTTCTGCAACACATGACTATACTGCTATTATTATAGCCATCTTATGGATGACAAACCGTAAAAAAAGCTAGTTTAGGCAACTTGCCCATCTTTCCTTATAACCAACAAAGATTAAGTAAAGGCATGACAGAAGCTCTTCTGGACAAGTTGGTGTAGGGGTTAATCTTTATTATCAGCATAACTGCGTTTGAAATCACGTACAAGACTGAGGCCTTCATGGTGTATGGGTCAGGACACTTCCAGGGAGAATTAAATGAAAAAGAAGATCGACTCTGAGTGTGGGTGGCACCATCTCATGGACACAGGGCCTGGATGAAAGGAGAAAGCCTGTGTTGAGCAGTACTGTTCTCTTTTTTTGCTTCCTGGCAGTCATGATGTGAACTGCTCTACTCACTGTTTTCCCCACCATGAAGAGCTAAACCATCTGAAACCATGGACCAAAATACATCCTTCCTCCCCTAAGTTGTTTCTATGAGGAATTTTGGTTCTTGATGGAAAAAACTTAGAGATCTTTGCTCTTTTGTTTGGAAGTTGTTGTTTTGTTGTTTTGTTTTGTTTTCCAACAGACAGTTGGAGGCAGCAAGTGATAGTTTCTGATTTAAATTTACATTCTTCCATAGTTCTCTCTGGAGTTGACCTTGTTCAAGAAAAGGGAAATGGTGTAATTTCAAAGAATTTTGGAAATTCCCCTCACCCCAAAATGCTCACACCAATGTTCTCTGCTACTTTTCAGGAAAACAGAATGATGATCCTGCATACAATGGTCATGGTCACCCCAAGCTTTTATGCAAATGTCACCTGGCCTGAGAGCAGGTTTGAATCAGAACAGTCACAAAGCTGGAGAAGTTGGAGGAGGCCTCACTAGGCAGAGAAGGACAGAACAGGGAGGGGCCAGAAGCAAAGCTCAGAAACATCCAGGATGCCGGACCCATCATAACTGGGCAGCCTGGGCTAGGGAAGAAAGAGGCAGCCAAAGCACCAGGGCATTAAGGCCCGCCTTCCAGTCTGCTAGCCCTAATTAGCCTTGGAGCCTGGCCCTGCAACCACAGAGCACAGTCTCTTCACTGCCAACAGACTGCAAGGCCTCCAGACAGCCACTCCTGTTGCTGGAGAAATGTAAATCATCAGGGCCTGATGACATCAGACAAGCCAAAGCATTTTGAATGTGAGAGGGTTATGTAAAGCCCTTTCAGGTGTTGGAATCCACATCTTCTACCCCATTACATCCTATTATATAAATCCCAGCTAATTCTTAAAATCTCTAAAAACTTGGTTACACTGGTACCTCTCTACTGGTTAGGATTCCTAGGTTTTGTCTCTCTGGACCTAATTAGGAATTTTTTTGTAATCTTTAATTCCTTGAAGAGGGAGTTGATTAAAGAGGTTCAGTACACTTTGGTTTTAAAATCTTAAAGCTCCCACGTTATTTCTGTGGACTATGGGTGTGTAGAGTCTGGAAAGGAAAGCTACTCCTCAGAGAGGAAAGATGGCTCTTAAAAGATCCAAGAAAATGAAAAGTCACAAGCACAGAAAAAAAAGCATTGGAGTGAGTGGCCTCCCCAAACTAGCCTTCTGTTTCTGTCACTTTCGAGACTCAGAGGAAGAGAAGGAGCTGATAAAGCAGGAAAGAGCCCTGAGCAACTGGAGGAAGGTGGCCTGGGGTCTTGCAGAGTTCTCCAGATGCAGTCTAGACGTTATTCCTCTGACCTTTGCTTCAGGAGCGCTGCGTGAAGCAACAAATGAAGACCTACGTGATTCTTCAGTGCACAAACTAGGAATTTCCTAAGCCCACAGTGATCAAAGGGGATAGATAGCTTGGAACACGATAAGGTGGCCTTCAGCAATGTTGATGCTAAGGAGAGACATTTCCTAAATTCTTATCGGTAAGTGACAGTGCATGGCTACAGATTTTATACTGAGTCACTTAATTCTGATCTACTGAAGATCACAAGCTACTCTAACTTGTCATTTATAAACTAAGAATAGCTTTGTGTTAGATTTTACTGGACACTAACTCCAAATTCAACACTAAAATGAACTTTTCAGCAGCACTGACCACTACCTACGGTACAGGTGAGCATCCAGATGCTCAGAATTCCACGTCCTTTGTTCACCCTTTCACATGTGAAATTGTAGTCAGACTGCATATGCGCAGTGCTGTTATTTTGGTTGCATGAGGACACAATGCTTCTAAGGATTTTCTGTAGGTTTTTAAAAAATATTTTATTATTTTTATTTTATGTGTATGTGTGTATTGCCTGCATGTAGGTAAGTGCACCCATGTCATGCAATGCCCACTAAGGACAGAAGAGGCTATCGGATCCCCTGGAACTGGAGTTACAGACAGTTGGTAGCTGCCATGTGGATGCTGGGATTTGAACCCGGGTCTTCTGCAAGAAAAGCCAGTGTTCTTAACCGCTGAGCCATCTCCCCAGCATCCATAGGACCCACAAACATCCCAATATTCCCTTTTTAAGTACATTTGCAACATCTGAAGAATTAAGATGAAATGGTGAAGAGCTCTTCAGGAACTGGCTTGGCATCTTGCACAGGGGTCTTGCTGATCTCCTCTGTATCATACCAACTTTACTGCCTGTTCTGCCAAAGGCAGTATAAACTCTCATTTCTGAGGGAATTTGCAGGCTACTGCCTCATCACTTTGTCTTAGTTGGGAAGAGTTTTTTGATGGTTGTCATTGTCGTTGTTGTTGTTTGTTGTGAGACAGGCTCTCACTATGTAACCTAAACTGACCTTCAATTCCTGATGCTTTAACCTCCACCTCCCACGTACTAGGAATAGAGTCATGTACAACCATACCACCACTGGTTCATTCTCAACTTTTTAGTAATGAATTACTTTGTGTCTGGCTCCATTCTCACTGACTTAATTTGCTTAGTTTATGAGGTTGACCCCACAGTGTAGAGTGATACATTTTTTGCAAGAGACTTGTTTCTGAGATATTCTTTCCTAGTCAATAAGCTGGCTTGTGCCCATTTGCTAGAGCTGATGTAAGCCTTGAGGATGTACTGGGATGGAAGGACCTCAGTTGGTATGCACTGTCTTTCAGTTTGTTCCATTTAAATGATTTGTAGCATACTATGAAGACAGATGTGATAATATGACCTGTTTAGTTTCTGATTTGCCTGGCATGGCATACTGACTTGTAATCATGTGTCTCACATCATATGCTTTTACACATGAAGTAAATATATGGTACTTGTACACCCCACAAACACTGCAACATGCTTAGTTTGGTTTCTTTCTGATTTTTATATAACCAAAATATATCTTTCCTCAGTGGAAACTGGGAATAGACAGGTGGGTCATAGGTGCTTTTTTTCCTGAGGCTTGGTCTAAAAATGATTGAGAACCATAGCCTTAAAGAAGTATAGAAAATAATAAAAATGTAGTATATATATATGACAGAATTTTATTCAATTGTAGAGAAAAATGAAACTATGAAATTTTCAGGAAAATGAATGACTTGGAAAGTATTATGTGTGGTGATTCAGACTCGGAAGGGCAAAACTTGCATGTTCTCTCTCATATGCCGAGCCTGGCTTATAATATTTATCTGTGGGTATGTGTGGGGGTGAATGTGGGCACAGGCTAAGAGAAGAGACCATGAGAAAGGAGAAGAGGGGATGAAGAAAGGGGAAGTCACACACATGAACTTGAGAAGGCGGCTATAGGGGGTGAGGGAACGCAAGGTAAGTGGAAAGACACGGGGAGCAGGTAGGGAGGAGACTCCACAAAGTCAGATTTTATTTGAAAATATCAGAACGAAATTTAATACTTTGTGTTCTAAATTTTAAAATAATTAATGGAAAAAAGTACAGCACAAATCGCCCTTTAAAATTTGGGCTTAATTATGCTTATGATAGATCCAAAGAGTGTAGTGAAGCTTCAAATACATCTCCTTCTTCTCCCAGCACAGGCACCACCACTAAATGCCTGAATGATGTACCCTGACCTCATCTCAACATAATTACAGAGTCACATTGAAGGGAAAATCAGACTTTAAATAGTGCTTTTAGTCTCATTATAAAAATAATGTATTGGGGTTGAAGAAATGCCTCAGAGGGTAAGGGTGCTTCTACTCCTACAGAGGACTGGAGTTTGATTCTCAGCACCCACTCTAGATGGCTCAAAACTCCCTGAAACTCCAGCTCCAGGGAATCTGACACCTGTTTCTGGCCTCAGCAGGCATTCTAAGCACATGGTGCATATAACTTTCCCCTCACATCCATAAATATGGAAATAAAATGAATTTTTTAATTTCTCAATAATAATAGTCAAGTTCAAATCTTTGGGAAATCCAGCAAAACCCAAAAGCAAAAATTGCAATGACTAATTATTTCACAACTAACTCTTGATACATTAGAATTTTCACATTAGTCTTTCTTTTAAACAAATATAGGTATAAATATATATTTTGATGCAAAATTAGACTCACTATGAGCACACCATTTTGCCAGTTGCTTTTCCTGAGTAGTATATGAAGAACATTTCCCCTGGTTAGAAGATATTATTTTCTTACAACATCATTTTTATGGCTAGAAACTAAAATAAACCACAATGTAAAAATATCAAGCTTATTTAAACAATTCTCTTGGGCACAGGATCATGTTGTTATAAAAACAATGTCATGTTATCCTGATAAGTAAATCTTTCTCAACATCTAGATTTTTCTTGTATTATTAAATTCTCAGAGTAGAATCACTGAGTTAAAGGCCATGAACATTTGCAGAGCTTTTGCAACATGTTATCCAGGATCTTTCAGAAAAGGAACTATCCTTTCTGTGCTTCAGAAAGGAAACTATATGATGCTGTAAGGTGGCCAGCACAGTTCCCTGCCTCTGCTGGAGAGTTTGCTCTGTGGGTAAACTCCATGAGTATTGGCTTGCCTGTTCTGTGAAGGGTCTCGAATTAGTCCTGTCATGTCCTTGAACTTTAAGGACTGCCTTTACTTTATACTCATTTTGGAGGCTTTAGAATCCAGATGTATGCTTACTGGCTTGGGCACAGGATGCCTGAGTTCAAGTCCTAAGCCACACATTATTCATGTGACAAAATTAGGCAGATAATCTAATATCTCTGGACTTTGTTTCCTCTCCTATAAAATAAAGGACTTGTGTTAGATGATGAAGATGATGATGATGATGATGATGATGTGTGTGTGTGTGTGTGTGTGTGTGTGTGTGTGAAGTATGCACTTGATAACATGGCTATGTGCTTCTGTGCATGTGAGGATATGTGTACATGTGTGCGTGTGCATGTGGAAGCCAGACGTTGATATCTGTTATCCTTTCTAAATCACTCTCTACCTTTAGTTTTTGATACAGAGTCTTTCAGTGAACCTGAAGCTTAATGATTCTGCTAGATGTGCTGGCCAAAGAGGTTCTGGGATCTGCCTGACCCTGCACCAACTACCAGGTGTGAGTCACAGTGCTCAACTTTTTATGTGGATTCTATGGATCTGAACTCAGGTCCTTGTGTTTGCACAGCAAGCACTTTACCAGCTGAGCCATCCCCCCAGCCCCAGTCTGTCTCTAACTCAAAAACTGAGTGATCTGCTATGTGTTTTAGCAATCCAACAACGTATCCAGCAGCTCATGCACAGTCGTGGACATTGGCCTCAATCCCTGCAAAGTTGCTACTCTGGGTTCCCTGAGAGTCCTTGACCATGAGAAATGACTCAAGATGACCTTCAAGCAATGAGGTATCCCATAGTTTATGAAAGTCTTGTGAATTTTATCACCTTCAGTTGCTGATAGTCACAAATAATAACTTCTTACCTTACAAACAACTGCAGGACCTCCACGCTGTTCCCCTGATATGGAACTCAACTCGACTGAATGAAAACAGGACGCTTTCCACAAGCCTTCAGGACTGTGACCCAAAACAAGGTGAGAAACATAATTGCATTTGGGGCAGGAATTCTTTCCAAGTCAGCAGCTCACTTGCTCACCCGAGTAGAGACATCATGTTCCTGAGTTTTACATCTGGAGAGCAGCCCAGAAATGATCCATCCAGCCCCCTTGCCAGACCGAAGAGGCAGCTCAGTCGGGGTGAACAACTCTTCTGCGTTGCTCTCTCTGCTAATTTACTTTGCGCACCAAATAAGTTTCTCTTGGGTAGATAAGGATCAATTTGCAGCTTACCCAGAGGTGCATAGCTGCCAAGTGGCTTCTTCTAAACATGGGATTTTTAGGTTAGCAGGAACAGAAAACTATTGAACTTTTTCCCACAATGAGACCTGTTTTCTTCTTTATTGAGAATGTCCCCTGTTATCGAGACTGGCTAAACATTTAGGGGTTGGCTGCCTTAATCATTAAAGTGACTCTATTCAAGGTGTGATTATCCTAATTTTAAAGTTTGGGATTTTTTTTTTTAATGTGTGTGAGTGTACCACCTGCATGTATGTAAGTGCACCCATGTTGTGCAACGCCCACGGAGGACAGAAGAGACTGTCAGATCCCCTGGAACTGGAGTTACAGACAGTTGTTAGCTGCCATGTGGGTGCTGGGATTTGAACCCAGGTCTTCTGCAAGAACAGTCAGTGTTAACTGCTGAGCCATCTCTCCAGCCCCTGATTATCCTAATTTTAAAGCTAAAACAACTTGGTAGAATGAGTAGAGAATGGTGGAATTGGAAACTGAATACCAGCCTCTCTGCCTTCACAGCCAATATTCAGTCTGTTAAATTTTCCTCATATATTTGAACAATTTTTCCCACTCAGTAGTGGTGTTTTCAGAGGTTGTTGAACTTTTGGGAAGTGAGGCTCAAAGGGAAGAAGTGGGTCTCTAGGTGGAGGTGGGCCTTGGGGTCTATAGCCCTGCTTGCTGCCCTTTCTCAGGCTGTAGAGATGTGAACAGGCAGCCTCACACTCAGGAGGTCGCAGCTGCCCACTAGTCCTGCCACACCTTCCCTCATGATGGACTGACCCTCAAACAGCGAGTCGAAATGAATTTTTTCTCTATGAAGTCACTTCTTGTCAGGTATTCGGTCACAGTGATGACAAAATTAACTAATATAAAAGGGCTTCTAAAAATGAAATTTAGCAAAAGTTACCAGGTAAGATGGTGGTGCCTGTAATGACATATTTCTCCAGGATTATTGGATCCTCAGCACTTATTCCTCTGATTTATGAAGATTCTTGCTTTGCTTCAAGCAGATCTAAGTCTCCCTTTTCTCAGTTACTGAAAAAATATTTCAAACATTTAACATTAAAGTAACATTGGACTCTCCAGCCTAGTATTTCTCAAAACATTTGACCTCTACTATAGAAAGTAATTTTGCACTATGATTCAGTATGTGTATGTAACAAATACAAACAGGATTTCACAAAACAATATTTCTTCTTACTACATAGAGCATGCTTTACTCTCTAATCAATTCTATTTTGTTTTACTTTATAATGCCACTTACAATTCAATAAGCTGAGTCCATGAGGGTTTAATGTGACCTGTAGATCTGCGTCCTCTGCTACAGAGGAATTTGATTGACAGAGGAATTTGCTCCAGGGTTAATGAACAATTTCTTCATCATCTTCACAACCTTCTTCTCTCCTTCCACTCCTCAAAGCTCACCCAACTGCAGAATCCAGTGCTTCATA